GATGAATCTGAATCCTAGTCTTAAACATTTCCAGGCCCGGAGATGCCTTGATGATCTCTTCCTAGGTAACTAGGATCTGGTGGTTTTGATGTGCTTCCTCGCGTCTAGCCTCAACCATTCTTGCTGTGTTTTTAAAAGGCCTCTTCTTCTGCTCTCTGTGGAGGAGAGCAGGCATGGTGCCAACAGGCAGGAAATGAAATCACGGCTGCTGGTCATTTCCCTCTCTTCTTTCCTCTCCTTTCCTCCCTCCTCCTCCCATCCCCCCCACTGCTCTTCCCTCCTTGGGGCTGCTTGTCAGATGTTTCCGCTGGGATGAGCAAAGCCTGTGTGTACAGTGCCTTTATGTGTTATAGATTTTTGCCATAAGCCTTCAGGTTTCTCCTTGCAGCCCTGACAAGGGAAATCCCATAATGAAGGATTTCACGGAGCTCCAAAGGCCAGGAGAGGCTTTTCTTTCCATCTGTCATTTTACTTCAAGCCTTGACCTTTCTGTTCTCATGTAAGGCGGGATCAGGAAGAAGCTGGGGCTGTGGAGTGAATGTCTGGGTTGGGATGGTGGACCGGGGCCGTGAGTGAATGGAAGCCAGGGACTTTAAGTGGGGAGTGAAGGACCACAGCGCACACCTCAGGGGGTGTGGGTGAGAGCAGGGTGCGAGTGAGAAGAGTTTAAAGAAAGGAGAGAGCCTCTCATTAGAATAAGTTCTCACATACAAGTAGGACACAGAACCTCCTCGGAGTTCCCTGTCTAGCCACCCCTCACCAGACACTCAGGGGTGCCATTTTTACCAAAGAAAGCAGAGGCTTTGGACTCCCCAAAATTTGGGTTTAAAAATAGTTCTACCCATCTGCTTGTGATGACTTTGGGCCAGTCGTTTAAGCTCCTTAAGTCCCAGTCTCTTCATTTGAAAGTTAGGAGTGGGAACGCAGACTTCACAGGATTGCTCCGCGCATGGAATAGGACAGTGTCTGGCGCTCAGCATTGTACCCGCAGACAGGTAGCACGGACTCAGAGGTGGCTACCAGCACTTTCAGATGAGAACAGAACCTCAGCACCACCTGGAAGATAACAGGAACCAGAAAGCCCCCTTAGGCCTCTCCTGCCCATCAAACTCCCCAAAACTCTCCAAACGGGCCTCACCCCAGGACAAACGGCCCATGGGAAAGCAAGCTGGGGCTTTGATGACAATGAAGGCCATCTTCTGACCAACTTTCCCATGTCGTGTCGATAGGGAGGCTGAAAAAAAAAAAAATCCCAGTCGCCAAGGCTCCACGACCAACTACCCGCCCTGCACGGCTGTGAAAGGGCAAAGCCTCCGAGATACACAAGGATTGTGATTGTTTGAAATGTTGGTAACATTTCATCTTCCCAGAGACCTTGTTCATTTATCAGGGTTCTTAAAACCCTTTTGTTCATAAACTTGTGGTGAGCACAGAAAACATTCTATCTAATATCAGAGCACAGCTGTTCCGCGACAGAGAGACTTAGGGAGAAAGCCCTTAAAACGAGGAAGGGGGGAAATCCCACCAGGGTTACAAACATGGGAAAAGCGACCGGGGGCAGGAGGACGGCCTCCCGAGCAACAGCTGCCTAACAAGAATATGCTGTTCGGGAAGTGTGAGAAAAAGCATCACCACGCTGACAGTGGGCCTCCGAGCTCTCAGTAAACACTGTGACCAAGGCAAGCCCCAGAGCTGGGCTCCTCCTCTCTGTAGGGTTCCTGGCAATTGAGCAGGAGGCCCCACCAGGGCCCCTAAAAATGTTTGAAGTAGGTGTGGAGCCCTGAGTAATATCTTCTTAAGGGCCAGTGTGGCTGGGAAAAAAAGTCTAGTGGAAAACTCTGTCCATCCAAGGCCACAGAAGACCAGGAAATATTTTCTAAAAGGGCTTTGATTGCTCCTGAAAGCACAAGACAGACTGAGCAGGGCCAGGCCAAGCCGGGGACTGCGTGACGCTAGCCATTGGCTGTGTGAGGTTGGGGCAGACAGGTCCGGAGTCTACGATTTATTTGCAGCTCTTAATTATTTAGTCGGGAGCTGTACAGAACTTCATGAATTCATGTAAAGGATAATCACGTCGATGTTTATGAGCTGTCTGAATAGGGGAAGAAACCACATCCACGTTTGCAAAATGTCTGAAGAGTAGCAATTGTTAAATGTAATTTCATTTCATATTTAAAGCCATTTCATATTTAAAAGGGAAAAAAGATAAGTCAATCAAGGTAAATTTTCAACACTGAACATTATAGCTGCCTGGAATTAGACACTGGTATATTACAGAAGTTATAAGCATGAGCTCTGGAATCAGAAAGACGTGGATTTAAATGACGGTGCCGGATGGCCGAAAAAAAATGTTTCAACATCCCCATTTCTGGGTTTCCTCATCAGTGAAATGAGAGTACGGGCACCTACCTCACAGGGTTGCTTTGGAGTTATGTGAGCTACTACATAAAAGTGTTTAGAAAAGGGTGGGAACCTATTAAGCCCCCACAGAAGTAGAAGCTATGACTGTAATGAGTGGGGGTTATAATGATATTTTGTGGCAATAAAAAGGAAACTTGGGTTGTCTTAGCTTGACCACTAATTGGATCCTGTAACCTCTAGGCCTCAGTTTCCTCTGTCTGAGGCAAGTTATACCTGTGTACCCCATCTGACACGAATGTTGTGGGTCAAAGAATCATACGAATCATAAAGGCGTATATAAATGTGATCTATGATTATTCTAAAGTACCCTTCTTCTGCAGTGTTATTTCTCTGCATTCAGCTAACATTCTAATCCAAGAACTTTGAATGATCAGCTCACCATTCTAGCTGATACCAGACCTGATCTCCCACTTCGTTTGGATTGTGATTCTAACAAATCAATTGCGAGAGAGAGACAGAGAAGGAGACACTCAGAGAAATTTGATGAGATTAAGGAATTATTGATTTTTGTTCGTTGTGATAATCGTATTAAATACATATGAGGGTTCTTCTTACATGGTTCCACATGGAGTATTTATAGATGAAGTTACATGATGTTTGGATTTACTTTAAAAATCATCTGTGTAGGGGGGAACTAGAGATAGGTATAGATAAAAGAAGATTGGCCATATGTTAATAATTGTAGAAGCTGAGTGAGGAGCACATGGGAGCTATTTATATTATATCCTCTGCCTTTATGTTTGAACATTTTCCATAAGAAAAAGAAACAATAATACAAAAAAATCCAAGAGGGGGATCAATGATTAACTATCTGTGACGGCAGCTGAGGACCAGGTAGAGTCCTAACAAAGGACAGTCAGATATTTCGGATACAAGAAGATGCACAGTAGTAGGAGAAAGCTGGACACTGGACAGCTTGCCACAGACAAAGCCTTGCGAAGTGACCAAGTCACTTAATTTCTCCAGGTTGCTGTTTCCTCCCCTTTAAAGGAGGTAAGATTCAAATGCCTTTTTCAGTCTTCACATATGATTTTTAAGGACTTCAAAATCAAGTACACTTTGCCTGTTTTCTGAATGGAATATATAAATCTCACTTTCAAGTGAATGAAACCATTTAAAATGTACCAGACATGCTCTCGATTTAAAGGAGCACTGTGAGAGAGCGTCTGGCTTAGGCAACAAATCTTTTTGGTGAAGTCTATACCTTCTTCCCCAATTTATTTGTGGCTTCCAACTTCCTTGTTACAGTAAAAAGGTCAATTGACGAAAACATACAGAGTTTGGAGATGTTTTTCCAAGGTCCATTTTTATGAGCTGAATGTTAACTTGAAAAAAATCCTTTATGTTTCAATTCTCTATACAAAGGAATCTCTCACAAACAGGAGTCTACTTTTTCCCTTCTCTTAGCGAGCACAGAGAAGTGGACACCATCTTCATGGTGATCTGAGTCAGGGTTTCTTCTGGCTTGAGATCAACACCAGGCACCAAGTCTGACTGTCCAGGACTGGAGATGTAGACAGAGAGAGCAGACATCAAGTTGAGTCTAGACTGATGCCATGGCATCTTCTGGAAGGGACGCTTTCAACTTCGATCCTTGTAAGAGCCAGTTTTAACCTTATAGTCTCCTACAAGTGGAAGACAGAAGAAAGCAGAGCAGTTAACGAAGTGTTTCTGATCGGCTGAGTCAATCAATCTAGGTTGTAGTGAAATGGGTTGGTGCCCTGAACCCTTCATTCCCACCTATTTCTCATGTTTCTCTTTGCTACTATGAACTATTTGCTCGCAACACTTCCGACACCAAATGTATGGGCTTTTTCTCCACACCAACCAATTCTCCAACTCTCTGGGTACCAACTGCGTGTCCTACAATTCAACTGAACTCTGACACTAACTACCTGGAATTAACATAGACCCCACAGGTTAAAGGCTCAGGCCCCAAGGCCGTCCCCACTTTGGATGCCAGTCACAAGCCCCATGTTGTCACCTATACTCCTGACTGACTAGCTATAAATTCAGTGGTTCTCACAACACCCTCCTCAGGTCTGATAATTTGTTAGAGTGGCTCGCAGAACTCAGGAACAGTTTACTTACTATCACCAGTTTATTTTAAAGGATATTATAAAAGATACAAATTAACAGATGAAGAGGTACATAGAATGAGGTCTGGAAAGATCTTGAGTGCAGGCGCTTCTGTCCCTGTGGAGTGGCATGCACCCCCCAGGCAGGCATGGTTCATTACATCGTTGGCCACTGGTTATTAACTCAATCCCCGGCCTCTCACTCCTCCCCAGAGGCTGGGAGTGGAGCTCCCAGTTCCATCTCTTTAATCATGTTGTGGTCTTTCTGGTCACCAGCCGCCCCATCCTCAAGCTTTCTAGGGGCCCACCAAGAGTGGCCTCATTACAAAAAAAGACGCTCCAATCACTTCTATTACCTAAAAAATTCCAAAGGATTTAGGAGTTGTGTCAGGAACAGGGATGAAAGATATATATATATTTTAATCACAGCTACTCTAAAGTCTTGGAATAAAATTTTCTAAGACACTGGCTGCAAATCTCACTTCTAAGAAGTACACGAATCTGTCTGGCAAGAATTCAATACTATTTTGTCCTCTCGAAAGCACCCTAACTCATTGATCATTGAAAAGGCAGACCATAAACATCTTTGGACATTCAATAAGCCAGTATTTATTAGTTTATCTCTTACTTGTCCCCCACTTTGATGCCTGAGATTTCAACATTTGTGTTCAAGTCCCATCTTGCTCCTTAGCTGCCAAGGACTTGGTCTTCTCTTTCTTTCTCTGTGACATGTTGATAATAACAACATGGATTTATAGGGTCATTGGGAGGATTAAATGAGATAATCCCAGAACAGCAGTTACAATAGTGCTTGTTACACAGTAAGTGCTCAGTAAGTGTTGTCTGAGCATCTGAGAGATGTATTCATGCAAGAATCTGCTAACACCAGGAGACACCATACCCAGACAGCTGGCAAGACATCCAGCATCCAAGACCAAATGAATGGCAGAATGGGGTTATTATGGGAAGAGTTCCTGGGACTGACTGGGCTGGCTTTCAGAGTGTCTGAGGCTAATATCATCCAAGTGACTGGTCTGAGCCTCAGTCCACTGGGGTCCCCTGCCCTGAATGAACATGGACTGGCCTGAACCTCAGAGTACCTAGGCTTTCTCCTGAATAGAACTGTGAGTTCTATGGGTGTGTGGGGATAGTAGGTCAGAAAGGGCTCCATGAAGGAGGTGGCACTGGAGCCAGGGCTTCAAAGATGGATAGGGTTTCGGAAGGTTAGAGGGCAGAGATAATGAAGAGGTCGGCTTAAGTATGGCCCGTCTCTTCTCTCTAGAGGCACAGGCCCATGGCCACCTCTCCATGGGTTGAACACTGGACACTGTTGGGAATGTGTGTCCCTCCTTCTCCCTGAAATCCCTTGTTGCTGCCCAAACAGAAACCTACTTTTTCTTGCCTGGCTCTTGGGAGAGCTGCTGCCTACACACCCCCTATCCCACAGAACAGCCCTTCTCAGATCTGAAGCCTGAGGCCGTGCCAGCCCTTCCCTCTGGCTTTCTCTCTCCCAAGGACCATGTTCTGCTGGTCTCATAGAAGCCACGACTCGTCGTCGTATGCTGCCCAGCATGTGGGTGCCAACCCGCGAGTGGGCTTTGAGGCCTTCCCTGGCCAAAGCCCAGGCTTGTGGCTGCTGTCTCATCACCCTCTCTACCTCCCTCCATCTCCAGAGCTGCAGGGACGTGGTCACTGGCACCCTTTCCCAATTTAGCTCAGACTCTCTTCTCAGTACCCTGGCATCCCACTCTGGGCCATCACAGGAGATTTCAAGTGAAAAATAAGACAAAAACTGAAAAACGTCTTCTTATTTTATCACAAAATATAAACAGTAAAAAATTATATAATCCCAGCTCTGCACTTGCCAGCTGGACGAACTTGGGCAAATTACATAACTTTTCTGTGCCTCAGTATAGGCATCTGTTAAACAGGAATAACAGTAGTTATCCTATCATAATGCTGTTGTGAGGACTGAGTGAGTTACTATAAAAGAAGTATTTGAAACAGTGCCTCATACAGAGTGAGGGCATCAGTAGTATTACGTTGTCATTGTTATCGTGGTTAAGAGGGCGGGACACAGACACAGGAGACACCACTTAACCTCTCTGGGCTTCAATCTTCATCTTCTTGAAATGGAAATAAAAACATTACCTACTTCATTCAACTGTGGGAGGATCAAAGAGATACCCCACGCTCATAGTTTCCTGTTAATGATTTAGCACCATACTTATGTATAGTAAGTCAGAAAAAGGTTTACATAAAAAAATTTTTTTTGAAAGAAAGAAAGGAAAGACAGGAAGGGAAGAAAAGAAAGAAAAAGAAAGAAGGAAGGAAGGAAGGAAAGAAGGAAGGAAGGAAGGAAGGAAGGAAGGAAGGAAATCTCTATTTAAAAAGATAAAAACATAAAAGAAGGACAGAAGGAAGGGAGGAAGGGAGGGAGGGAGGGAGGAAGGAAGGAAGGAAAAGAAAGGCAGAAAGACTCTGGCTTGAAAAGTAATGACCGAACGCATTAGAGATCTAAGACCTGCAACCCAGCCTCCCAAATGCAGGCAGCTGCAACACTGCCTGCAGTCCGCAGGCTCTCCAGAGAATCGCCACATGGGGGACATCCTTGCTTTCCCTCACCGTGTCTAGCCAGGAGTCTTGCACAGCACAATCACTGAGGTAAACCAGAGCTGAATAAATAGCATGTTTAAACATGCCTACCCGACCCCCAGGAAACCAGGAGAGTAAAAAGAATCTCTTAGAATTTTTCTCTACTTGCTCACCCACAGAGTTCCACCATCTGGGAGGGTGGCTGCTGTGGGTGGCACAGTTAACATGAATCAGCCACATGACTTTGAGTGCAGTGGTCAGGAGCCCAGGCTTTGGCTTTTGAAAGACAGTAGTTCAGGTCCCAATTCTGCCAGTGGCTGGCCGTGGGATTCAGATAAGTTTCTGACTCTTTCGTGGCCTCAATTTCTTCCTTCATAAAATAGGGATTGTGAAAATGACTTCACCATGGAGTTGTGAGCATCGAAAGAATTATTTGTAAGACACCTAGGACAGCATCTGGTAGGTCTTAGTGCTTAACAACTTTCGGTCACTATTATCAACTCTGGATTTCTCGAACCCCTGAAAAGAGCAGGGCATTCTGTTATGGACGTAGTTTTAGGGAAAATCTGGTATCTGATTAATTTTTCTGGAGAAGGGTGCGGCCATGGCCTGAGCCCCTGGAATGCTCCTGCTCAGTGGCTCAGCATCACTGACATGTGCCCATCCTGCTTTGGGGTCAGCGTCCTCCTCTGGCTGCAATTGTCATTCCCGTCACCATTAACACCCCTCCTTCTTCAGAGATGTGAACACTTGCATTGTTTCTTCCAACCAATGGTTTCTCTCTGGCCTGTGATTGGTACCCCTGAGATTCCATTGCAATCCAGGCATGCCAACTATGTCAGCGTGACTCAAGTTGTGTGAGGCTGACATCCACATGGCCCCGTAGAAGGCAGGCTCCAGCAAAAGGTTATTTGGAATGCTGCTGAATGTTTGATGTCTGTCAAGTTATCTTTTTGGGGTTAAGCCATTAAAGTCGCATCTGATGTTTTATGGAACAAATGAGATAAACTACATGTTGAAATTCATGGAGCATGGAAAGAATTTTTATGGATGTAGACACTGTGGCAGCTAAAAGTAGGTTATTTTTTTCCCCTAAAACTTTGTAGTTTTTCTTCTACATAACTATTTCCCTTGGATTCAAGGCAGAAACAACCCCCAAAAGTGAAGCATAGAGACTGCGGAACAGATTCAGTAAAACCTGGGGCTACTGGATCACTTATAAAGAACATGGATCTATCTACCTTGCTCATATCATCTCAATCAGAGAGTTATCTGCTCTGTTCTTAAATTCTGTGCCGAAACTTGATCACACACCCTGAAGAAAAATTCTTTTCCACGCAAATCTGAATCCTTCCTGGGTGCTTTTTAGTCCATGCCCCTGGCATCTCTCCACCTCTCCCCTCCTTCCCTGCTCCCTTGAAGTGACCAATGCTCCAGATTCTCCAGCCACACCACCAGCTCCTGGGGCTCTGAGCATACTGAGCACTTTCCACTTTTGTTTGTAGGCTTTGTCTCCTTTGCCCAGAGCACCCTTCCTTTCTATCTCTGTCACTACTCATTCAACCAAATGGTCTAACTGAATCCACCTGAATAACTAGCATGTTGCCAGGCAATGATAGAAAGATGAGCAGACCAAGCATCCGAGCCTTCCCATCCTCCAACTTCAGACTCAAGTGCCACCTTCTCCATGCAGATTTCTCAGTCTCAACCCGTCAGTCTCCCTCTTCCTGCACTCCCAAAACATTGAGGTGACTCCTATCTTCATCTCTCTTATATTAAAGTGAAAGCTATGTGTGTATATGTCTGTTCCCCTGTAGACTATAAGGTTGTTGAAGACAAGGACTTCAAAATGTTAATTTTCTATCTTGGACCACTTAATTTATAGAATCAAGACCTCAATATTTTTCTCTTCCTCTGGACATTCGAATGCACAGGGAAGCAAAGTACAATGA